AGGGTGTGGGTCTCTGCAGGAACCAGCCAGCCCTGGGCCTCAGAGGGCCTTGCACCCCACCCCACAGGCAGCTGGCAGCAGGGAAAAGGTGCTGGGCCGGGAGTCCAGAGGCTGGCTCCGCGGGCCTGGCAGGGATGGAGACGAGGTGACCTCGTGCAGCCTCTCTGACCGGAGTGGAGGCCTCCTCTCCCAGCAGGTCGGGCCCAGGCCAGGGGTCAGTTCTCACCAGATGGTGAACCTGCTGGTTCTCCACAAAGATCCCCGTGGAGAACTGGTTTCTCTACTTTAGAGTCTTGTTTTAGGGGGAGGATCCCCAGTTTCTTGCACTCCCGTTAGATGTGCATGGAAGGAGGCAGGTGACCGGAGATTCAGAGCCACCCGGGGGACCCTCCATAGATGCAGAGGCTGTGTCAGGCCGCTGTGACCTCCCTGCTCCTCTGTCTCCCCTGTAAAATTGGGGTGATGACCTCACCTCCTGGCATGAGAGAGATGAGCCATGGATGTTGCTGGTCTGCCTGGCACAGTGCTCTGCATCTCACAGCATTACTCAGAGCTCGCAGCCCTGTGACAACATCCTTCTCATGGCACCCCGTGTCACAGAGGAGGGAAGCAGGCCTGGGAAGCAAGTCATCGCTGAGTTCACTGCCGTAAGCTTGGGAATGACACTGTTGACGCCCGTAAACAACTCAGCCAGACCCAGGATTGACCGGAGCAGGTGTTAGGCGCCTCCTACCCCAGTAGATGGGCAACACATGCCGGTGCTGCCCCTCACTAGACGGACTCCTCCTTTGCCTTGTAACAATCACACACCAAGTGACAGATGTAAAATGTAAATGTTCTGAGTGGACAGATGTAACACCAATAAGCAGCCACCCACCTCACCAGCACCCACCCTACCTGTGCACCTGCACCTGCCTCCCCCAGGCTGGATTGAGGGACCCCTGTCCTCTGACCCACTTTTAGTTTCCCGGGGTTGCTTCCAGGGGTGCAGCCCTGGTTGGGGCGCGTGCTGGAGGCAACCAACAGGGTGCTTGAACAAGAGATGTTTATTTCTCACAGTTCTGGAGACCAGAAGTCTGAGGTCAATGTGTTGGCCAGGTTGGCTTCTCCTGCGGCCTCCCTCCTTGACATGCAGATGACTGTCACTGTGTCCTCACATGGTGGTCCCTCTGTGTGTGTCTGTGTCCTCGTGTCCTCTTCTGATAGAATACCAGTCCTATTGAATTAGGGCCACCCGTGTGGCCTCATGTAAACACCCCGTCTCCAAATAGGGTCACATTCTGAGGGGGTTCAGACTTCAATGTATGAATCTGGGGGGACACGTTTAGCCCACAACACTTACCACATGCTCTCTTGTCTCCTACCTGCCCCCAGCCTGGGTTATGGGCCAAGCCATCCCTTGATTTTTCTCACTCACACTTGCAACTTAACGCTCGGTTTTGTTCACATGAGAAACGTTTGTGCTGTGCGAGGTCTCCTGAGACTTCCTCTTTCTAGGATTCATCCTTGTGGTTGTGAGCAGCTACTGTCTGTGCATTTCACGGCTTTCTCTTGTCCTGGCCTCTGACATCCGGCCCAGTTCTTGCTGAAGGGAGAGAGAGGCTGCTGTGGACGTCTTTGACCGTGTGTCCTGATGCGTCTCCACACCTTGACCTGGCTCAGGGAGACCAGGTCAGGATGACGTCTGGCCTCCCCAATGGCGAGATGAGAAATGTGCTTGTTGCAAGTGGGAAGTTTGTTGTTGTGGTTGATCCTCACCCGAGGACATTTTTCCCATTGATTCTCAGAGAGAGTGAAAGGGAGAGAAACATCGATGTGAGAGAGACACATCAGTTGGTTGCCCAACCAGGGCTGGGGATGGAGCCTACAGCCAAGGTATGTGCCCTTGACCGGAATCAAACCCAGGACCCTTCAGTCCAAGGGCTGATGCTCTATCCACTGAGCCAAACCAGTTAGGTGCATGTGGGAAGTTTTTGGTGACTTGTTGCAACAGCAATTGGAAACAGGTACACTAGTGTTAAGATATGTGGTTTTTACCCTATTACATGTGAATTTCAAGGTGATGAAAATCCATCGGACATTGTCCTGAAAATAATGATCTGTTTGAGCAAGAGTTTAGTGACTTTAACTAAAGTCAAAACTGGGAAGGTGACTTTGTCCCTGGATGGGATACTATACTATCACAATGATCTGTTTGAGCATTTACTATACATACTTGACTTTCCTCTTGTGTAGCAGATATGCACCATCTTTGCAGGTGAGGTTTCTTAAGAAGCTGCTTCATCTCTCTCTGCTGCTTCCTCTTCAATCAGAGAATGTGCTCTGCTTACCAGAAATTACTGAAAGGTGAGGCGGTTCCTTTACCCCCATTTTATGGAAGGAATACGTTGGTTTACAGACTTTGGAACGTTTTGACTGTTTTCCTCCCTGTTTTCCACACCTTCCCCGGCTCTCCTAACGGAGCCACAAGAGGCATTTTGTGTGAGATTGGGGGGTGGAGGGCAGCCGTGAGGTAGCAGCCCTAATGTCTTTGGGGAAGGTCAGGGCAAGGGCCCAGGTGTGGCTGCGGCTCACTGTCCTCATTGGTGAGAGGCCGGAGAGCAGCTTTCAGCTTCTCCAGCTCCTGGGTGAGGCCTGCGCTGGGTGAGGAATGGTGCCACTTGTTCAGGAGGAATGGCGCCACTTCTGCAGGACACCCGTGGCCCATCCACCGTGGGGTTCTGGCTAGAGCTCAGGGCGTCCAGCTTGCAGCAAGCCACCCATCCTCAGTTTACCTCCAACTTCCCCTGCCTACCACGCCCTGCACCCATGGATGGGACCCTGGGACCCTAGAGGACCCAGGTCTACCACAGGCGGGCTTTCAAGTTCTGGACGCAGGGTGGGCGGCCTGATAAGCGTCCTTTCCCGCGTGCTTAGCGGCTGTGCTCAGAGACCATGTCCTCAAGCCCAGCTCGCTCCCGCCACCTCGCGGTCGTCCTCTTCGCGCACCATGACTCTGGCTTTGGTGCAGCGTCCCTGGGTCAGGAAGCCCAACAGCCTCTCTCTCGGTGTCACGGGGTCACGGACCCGGACCGCCTGACAGAGGAGGTCGCGGGCGGCGGGCCAGCGCTGGGGACCCCAATGAGCGCTGCCGCCGGCCCCTGCCCCGCGCACGCGCATGCGCACCCACCCTCCTGGAGGCTGGGCGCCTGCGGGGTCCCGCCCCTCCTCCAGCGGCCCGTGTCTCCATGGCGACCGCGTGTGCCTGGCGGCCTCCATTGTTGGGCTGCACCTCCCTGCGTTCTCGGCGCCCCAGCCTGCTAGTGGGGGCATCCCCACAGGTGAGGCAGGAAGGGCGGCAACGCAGGGGAGGAGGAAGGGGGTGCGGCAGATGAGGTGGGGGAAGAAGGGGTGTGTGTGAGTGAGGGGAGCTCTGAGCTCCTGGGGCCCTACGATGGGCGGGCGGGCAGCTGATGGAAGGCGGTGCCCAGTACAGGGTGCGCCCCCAAGCGTGGACTCTCAGGCTCCGATGGGGAAACCGAGGCAGGGCGCGCTGGGCACCTGGAGCAGCCTCAGGATCCCCCGGAGCCCGCCCTCATTTTTAGGTCCTGGCGTTTCGCTCTGGTTTTCAGACATTTGTCCTGTTGGGAGGTTTATAGGAGGTTGAAGACCTCCCCTCATAGCCTAGCAGAACAGGACTACCCAGAGAAAGGCCCAGTCGTGGGGGTGGGCGTGGGGGATGAGGGTGGGGGGATGGGGAGGTAGCACCTGTGGGCAGTTCCTTCACCCCCATTTTATGGAAGGAATACGTTGGTTTACAGACTTTGGAACGTTTTGACTGTTTTCCTCCCTGAAATAGCCATTTCTATCCTGCGTTTTGGAGTTGAAAGTTGTATCCATGGTTCAGAGTGAGGAGCAGAACGTTTTCATCTGAACCTTCTTGCACCCCAGGGATTCTTTTAAAATTTAAAAGTCAAGTTGATGATATCGTTTATTAAAAGCGAGTGTTTTGTAAGCAGGTGAAATCACTGCAGGCCTGCCAGGCAGCTAGCCCGTCCACCTGGGAACGTGGCCGCGTTCCTCATTGTGGTTGTGTCCCCTCTCCCTCCAGGTGACCCAGGAGGATGAGCAGTGGCCTGGAGGATTGCTTCCTCCCAGCTGACAGATGGAGGGAACCGGCCCTGGGACCGCTGACCTGGAGAGCGACACTGCTCAGGCTGGGCGCCCGCCTGCCGCCCCGTCCAAAGACATTCCCAAGAGTGTCCCCGGGGCCATATTTTCTTCCTCACCAATTCTAGACTTGAGTCAAAGGGGTCTTCAACATTTAGGAGACATCCTTAAAATCCCCACCCTTAAAGTAAGTGGGGCGTGTCTCGGGGTATTGTGCACGGACCGGGTAGACATAAACAAACAGCTCACCCCAGGCTTTTACTCGTCGGCTTCTCTGCAGGAGAGAAACTCTAGAATGAGACAGCGGAGGGTTAACTCGGGGCTTCATGTGCTGTTCAAGACAAATGAGAAATTCAGGCCTGGGGACCAGCCAATGGGAATACCTCGTAGGGTCCAATTCTGATGTTCTCTCTCCTCAAGAAAGTCTTGGGCACCAAAAAGCTTATGGTAGACACTGCTACTGAAAGCACCTTTGGTCCCTAATTTAATATATTTGTATTATTGATTGCAGAGAGGAAGGGAGAGGGAGGAAGAGATAGAAACGTCAACGATGAGAGAGAATTATTGATCGGCTGCCTCCTGCACGCCCCACACTGGGGACTGAGCCCGTAACCCAGGCATGTGCGCTGACCTGGAATCGAACTGGGACCTACTGGTTCATAGGTCGACGCTCAACCGCTGAGCCATGCCAGCTGGGTCTCAGTCTCTTATTTAAAACACAGAAGCCCTAAAAACCCAGTCAACATTGAAACAGGGAAAAACTTTCTCACCCACACTTTGCTGACGTCACATGCCAATTTTACCTTCTGCCTGGTGCCTTCGCCAGGTGAGTCCCTTGCCTGCTTGTGATCTAGTGAGCTATTGTGACTTCCAGAATAAGGTTCCATCAGAGCCCAGCAATATAGTTACGATGGCCAATGCTGACCTGGCACTGCCGTGTGCCAAGCATTGCCCACCTAATGTGCCCTGGGAGGTGGATCACGTGACCTGTTTTACAGGTGGGGACTCTGGAGCACAGAGAGGTTTGGGAACTTGTTCAAAGTCACACAGCTAATAGGTCCCGTGCTCTGCACTTTGTCCCTGCCTCCAGTGCTATTGCCTCCTTTATGATGGTGACTTGATTTCACTGGGAATCCTGCAGTGATGGCTCTGGGGTTGTTCTTGTGTGGCTGCTGATCACGGTTAACCCACAGCAGGCTGCTCAGTGTGTGTGTCCTTCCGTTATGTCCTTTGGATGCGTCCCTGGGACCAGACGGGGCCGTTCCTTCACCGGGCAGAGTTGCTGTGGGCCCAGGAGGGAGAAGAGGGATATAAACACCGGGGGTGAGTGTGGTGTCAGAGGGAGTTTTAGAAGTGGCATGTGCTCATGGGGGTGTCCTCGGGTCAGGACGCGCTCTCAGCTCCCACAGTGGCGCACGGGTCCTGACGATTCTCGTGTTGCGTCTCGTGTCTACGGTTTAAACTTAAGGTAGAAGAGTACGATTTCTCGTCTAACTCGATGTGTGATTGCGGTGGCTGGTAGCTCTTCGGAAATGCTTCTAGGCTGTATCGTGTTTTAAAATTCAGTTGGTTGACCAAACGTGGTCTTTTCTTTCCTGGGAAGCAATTGCATCTTCAGAGAAATGAGCTCTGCACAATCCCGCGAGACTTCTTTCAGCTGCTGCCCAACCTCACCTGGCTGGACCTGCGGCACAACAGGATTCAGGTGCTTCCGTCCGGGATTGGCTCTCACAGGCAAGTCGCGCTCCTGTTCCCGACTCCAAGTCCCCATCCCCTTAACACGTCTGAGAGCCTGCTCTGTTGCTGCTCAGCTCCTCCTGGTTGAATTTTGACTTCAGAATGGAAGCATTTGATGGTATTTTTGAGGCTGGCCGGGCGGTGCGATGGCTGAGTGTACAAATTCATGGGGCTGTTGTTGTACCTCAGGACACTTAGCAGCTGAGGGTGCCAGCGCCTTTGTTGGACCGGCCGTGTGGGGTTTGTAATGTCTGGGTCCATCTCTGACTCGTTGTGTGAAACTGCCTGAAGGGTCAGCAATACAACCGCGTGTATCCAAAACGAGAAATTCTGCCCAGTTTGGAAGAGTGAATGTGTGCTCTCCTGCTCTGACTCCATAGATTCCCAGCACCCCCACTTCAAAGACCTGGGCCCTCCCCAGCAGCTGACCATCAGCTGGCATCCTCAGCATGGCCTCCAGGAGCCATGCTCCCCAGGAGGTCCCCTCCCCTCCTGGCTCCTTTGCCTCCTGAACCCAGTCCTTCCCCCAGTGCTTCTTACCCTTTGAAACCTTCTGAGAAACACTTCAGGCCCTCCTTCTGTGTCAGCGCATCTGGGCAAAGAAAGCACATGCAAAGGCCCTGGGGCGGCCATGTGCTTGGAGACGTGAGGGACACAGGGAGGCCAGCATGGTCGGCCAGGCTTGTAGGCTACAGCTGCTATTTTGGATTTCATTTTGAAAGAGGGTCGTAGGGAGCGGCAATAGGGTCAAGCATGAACCGCGTCCAGCATGGCGGGGAGTGAACCTGAGGAGGGGCAGTGAAGGATTAAAGAAGACAGACAAGAGAATACAGTTGGGGCCAGGTAGGATCACTGTGCCTGGATGAGGAAACAGTGCCACAGCCTGTAAGCCGAAGCTTTATTTTGTAGTCAGATCACACAAAGCAAAAAAAGGGGAGTGGTCAACATGTTTACAATGTTCTTGCAAGTTTCATTACTCAAGCCTTGTTTTGGCAGCACTTACTGCACCTCCCTCAGCCCATTAGCTACCTAAGAACAAGGGAGGACTGTAAGGTCAAGCTTAATTGTGCTAGGAGGGCTCTGCCCTCCAAGCTGGGACTTGAATGTGGCTCTGCCACAGATCAGTCCGAGGCTTGACCCTATAGCCACTCCCCACAGAGGGTTTGAGTGGATGGGGGTGGAATTTGACTTGGCTTTCAGATCACTGTACGGAGGGGCGAGAGTGGCAGCAGTGAGGCCACGAAGGAGGCCACTGCAGCAGTGCATGCGCGAGGCGGTGCCCCGGCAAGGCTGGACACTGCAGAGCTGCGCTGAGCTCGGGAGCTGGTGGGGCTCAGGTTGCATGTGGGCATGGGAGGAAGAGAGGTGTGCAAGGGCACCCCCAGCTCTGACACGAGTAGCTGTGCACAGAAGCCAGGTGGTCACTGAAACTGCAGGGCACAGGCCTGCAGCAGGCCCTTCACTCGCCCAGCTGTTGCTCACCATTTTTAGAAGCAATTTTTCAGAAGTGAGTATTGCCCTAGCCCAGTGGTCGGCAAACTGCGGCTTGCGAGCCACATGCGGCTCTTTGGCCCCTTGAGTGTGGCTCTTCCACAAAATACTGACTTCTGCGCATGGGCCACGAAGTTTCAATAGCACTGTACGTGCGCACCCGCACGTGGTATTTTGTGACTCTTCAGCTCTGTATGATAAATCTGCTGCCCCACTCCATAGTTTGGCTTAGTGGATAGAGCATCAGTCTGCGGACCAAAGGGTCCCAGGTTCGATTCCAGTCAAGGACAAGTACCTGGGTTGCAGGCTCCTCCCCGGCCTGGGTCCCAGAGGCAACCAATTGATGTGTTTCTCTCACATCGATATTTCTCTCTGTCTTTCCCTTTCTCTTCCACTCTCTCTAAAAAAATCACCTCGGGTGAGGATTTAAAAAAAAAAGTGAGTATTCTGTCACCTGTAAGAGTAAGAAAATGTCTCTGATCCTTGGTGCCTTCGCAGGCTCCTCGAGGAAGCAGCGAATGTCACGATGAGCTGGCATCTCCATCAGGATGGGGCCAGAGCCAGGAGCCCTCTTCCTGGAGCCCCTGGGGTTGGCGGGGTCTGTGGAGCAGATCACCTGTGGGGAGTCGTGGCCCTGGTTGCATAGAGCCGGACAGGCAGGCGCATGGCTGAGCCCGGTCTGCAGCTGGCTGTGTGCCTGGCTGTGTGACGGGCTGAGGCTGTCCGGGCTGCTTCCTCCTTCCCCTACAGCTGACCCAAGTGGCCTCCCCAGCCCTCGGAGGCGGCCTGAGAAGGCGCTGTTCGTCACACGGTCCTCTTCTGTGTTTAGGATAATCTAGTGCTTTTTGTCCATAAATTGTGCGGAGAGTAATTGCTACTCAAAAGGTAAAAATGAAGTGCTTTCCCCTAAACACTCTTCTTTCTTCTCAAATAAGCACACAGTTCTACAATGTTGGAATCTTTGATGTTTCCAGTCAAAGCCTGCTGCTCACTGTTGTTTAAGATAGAATTGTTCATGTGATGTGCAACCCACTACATCATTCAAATCAGAGCAGCCTGCGGAAGACCTGAAACACACTCATTATAAATTTTAAGTGATGTGAGCTTATTAAAAGCCTTAAGCTTCCCACAAAGCCCGATGAAAACCATCCAGAACGAAGGTGCCCCTTCAGGGCCGGCGGTGTGAGCTCGCGGCCAGAGCGGACGCTTGAGGAGCGGCCTCAGCCCAGTGCCCCTATGAGTAGCTTGGTTCCCACAGACGCCTATGTCCAGGGGGAAGTCTGTGAAATGAAATGCTGGGTCAGCACTGGGTGTCATTTAAAGTGTGCACCGAATATTTTAATGCGTTATTATGTCGGGTGGAAACAGGCCTGATACCCTTTCAGGTCAGTAGGTGGCTGCCATGTTGTATGTCCCCAAACCAGCCAACAACAAGAATGTCCCTGGTGTGGGGAGGTGAGGGCCCTTTGCCACTGCAGTTCTGTCGAGGCATCTCCAGAAGCTCTGGGCGCTGTCCCCAGTGGCTGCTGCGTGTCAGCAGATGTAAAGGGGCTAATACCCAAAGCAGCCCGAGTACCAACGCTCCCAGGAAGGTAAATAGAAAATTGTCAGCCCCTGGGCTGAAGCCACTGACGAGCCAGGGTATTTGTGGTCCTTTCACACCAGATTTCAGCTGGGGACCCCTGAGAAGGGAAGGAGGAAGGGAAACTGCCGTTAATATACAACACAGTCTTCATTCAGGTAGAAACAGAGGGGCTGAGGCAGCGTGAACTGGTGACGCCCCAGCAGGCATGCAGCCAGTCATTTCTGTCGGGGCCCTCCAGCCATCCTATATGCCTGTGGTCTCTTTTGTGCTAAATTTTACAAGTCATGCTAACAGGAGTCAAATACGGGGAGAAAATACCCCGAAACCAGGTGTCCTTGCTTGGGGACTTCTCCGGCCACGAGTATGTGAATCACCATCCGTAAGCAGGGCAGACACGCCGTGCAGCATGTGTCTCCTGGCACTCTTGACTGTGGAGAACATTTGCACAGAGCACCTGAAAACGCTGGGGTGCATCACCACACACCCCAGGCACCCCCGTGTGGTGCATGTGTCAATGGGCACCCGCAACCCGGGCACTGGTTCTCAGCCAGGAGAACTTGCCCCTCTCTGCGCATAATTGGCAATGTCTGCAGGTTTTGTGGTTGTCTCGGGGTGGGGGGTGGTTTACTGGCATCTTGTGGGGACAAGCCTAAATGCTGCTATAAACACCCACAGGCACAGGACCGTCCCCCAGCCAAGCATTGCCTGGCCCCGAGGTCAGCAGCGCCGGGCGAGAGCTCGGCCCGATGCTGGGACAGTTGACCACGCCTGTGGTCACTCTGTGAGTCTGTGGCATTGCCGCCTTAAAGAGAAGACAAATGAAGAAATGCGGTATCACTTAGGGACAGTTACTCGACTTTCTGCTTTTAAATGATATATGTTCTGTTTTGTTTTAAAGGTATTTGAAAACTTTGCTTTTAGAAAGAAATCCTATCAAAATGTTACCTGTGCAGCTGGGTAAGTACCCAAACAACCAAATAAAAGGTGGTTTTAAGATGCAGTCTAGTGAGGTTGCTGCAACCTGCAGTGGCGCCAGGCATGGCCCCGAGGGGAGGCCCGGGGGTGGCTCACGCCCTCTGCCTCTGCCCTCGGGCTCCCAAGAGCTGCCAGCGCCTGCGTGATTTCTACACCTAAAGAGTGACCCGCAGCCTAGCGTGAGGAGTGATGAAACCTTTCCTTTCAGATCCACCAACTTCTGCTTCTTTATATTTTGATACGATGTTATTGGTTGAATAGAAATTTAGGATTTTTATATTTTCTTTTTTTTTTAAATATATTTTATAGATTTTTTACAGAGAAGAAGGGAGAGGGATAGAGAGCCAGAAACATCGATGAGAGAGATCGATCAGCTGCCTTCTGCATGCCTCCGAGTGGGGATGTGCCTACAACCAAGATACATGCCCTTGACCGGAATCGAACCCGGGACCCTCCAGTCCGCAGGCTGACACTCTATCCACTGAGCCAAACCAGTTCGGCGGATTTTTATATTTTCTTGTTGCTTTTGGCGCTCTGGTTTGTGTGGAGCGATAGCCCCGTGGTTTCACATGCGTGTTCCCGTGCTCATTGGCACTCGGAGTGTGTGAGTGCATCCACTTCAGCCTCCTCCTGGCCACCCTCGGCTCACGCATGCACCTTCCCAGCTTTGACTTCAGCCTCTGCGTCGTCAGCCGCAGGCAGGTGTGGTTGGGTGTCACTCTTCTGTCCAGTCTGATGGTCCCTGCCTTTTGCGTGGAGCGTTGCTTCTTTCTCATTCTCATCTCCTCTCTTCCTGGGACTCCAGTTACACAAGTTTAGATTCTGATTCTGTCCCACATGCCTTGAATACTCCCTTTCCCTGGCTGTTTTCAATAATATTTCTTTGTCTTTCACTAGTTTGTGATGTTTCTCAGTGTGAATCCTTGCGGTTTATATTACTTGGGATTTGTTAAGCTTCTTAGATATATACATTAATGTTTATCATCAAATTAGAGCTGTGTTGGCCATGGTTTGCTCCGATTTTTTTTCTAACCCTCTCTTTTGCTCCCCCTATGACCGTTGTCACATGTATATTAGCATTCTTGATGTTCTATGGGTCTCTGAGTTCTGTTGTTGTTTGAATCTTTTTTCTCTTGGACCTCAGCTTGCATACATATCATCTATCCATCTTTCAGTTGACTTGTTTCTTTTGTCGTCTTGTATATGCTTTTGTCATTTTGTCATCTTGAGGCCAGTGAATTTTTTATTTCAGTCTTTGCAATTTTTAAGTCTAAAACTGCTATTTGGTTATTTAATAATTCTATTTTTATTGACATTCTATATTTGTTGAGATATTTTACTATATTTTCCTTTAATTATTTAAGTTTTTTTTATTTCTTTGAACATGTTTGTAACAACTGCTTTGATGTTTTTGTATGCTGCATCCAGCATCTGAGCCTGCTCAAAGACAGTCTCTCTTGGCTGCTTGTTTCCTGTGTATAAGTCATATTTTACTTTTCTTTGCATGCCTTATAGTTTTTGGTATTGTTGAAGACAGGCATTTTGGATAATATATTATAGCAGCTTTTGGTGATTTTTACTAGAGGGCTGCTGTTGTTGCTTTACTAGAGGGCTGTTTGTTTATTTTATTTTATTTTGTAAGTAGACTGGTCTTAATCTATGGAATCTGTCCCCCCTGCAGGGTTTTTTTTTTTTTTTAAAGCAAATCTCAGACATCTGTCATGTAATTTTACCCAGAATTCTCAACAGGATCTCTTTTTCCTGATGTGCAAAAGTAACTGTCATCTCCTGTCTCCATTGCACAGGAGTGTGTGTAACATGCTGATGGTTCTTCCTCTCCGTCAGGGAACGTGACGACGCTGAGAGCACTGAACCTGAGGCACTGCCCTCTGGAGTTCCCGCCTCAGGTCATTGTGCAGAAGGGCCCGGCCGCCATCCTGAGATTCCTGCAAGGCTCTGCAGCCAAGCTCTCCTCCCGCCGAGACCCAGCAGCTTCTCAAGGTTCGTAGGACAATTATTAGGACAAACTGCATCAAAACCGAAGCGAGTGCTTTTTAAAATCTGGGCCCAGGACACCTCCTCTCTATAATCATGTCCCGAGGAACACGGGAGCCTCATGTGTCCCCGCTGGACGCTCCCAGCACCTGGTTCGCACACGGTCTCCTCGCTGACAGCAGAGCCCTGTCTTTCTCTGGCTCTGTGCTCACAGGCTTGCATCCTCAGTGCCCACGATGGGGCCTGTCCGGGGCGGGTTTGGGTAAAAGTTCACTGGGATGAACATCATGAAACAGTCCTCACCCCCAATACCATCACGTAACTATTTCAGGAATTGCTTGGTCCATTAGACAACAATTGTCCATTCTATAGGCTCCCTCCCTCCCTCCCTTCCTTCCTTTCTTCTTTCCTTCCCTCCTTCCTTCCTCCCTTCCTTCCTTCCT